AGGCGTCGCAGTACACCACAAAGTTATCCGTTCCCTCTGGTAATGCCAGAATTGGCGCGTTACACAACTTGTGCTTAAGTGTCTGAAATGCTTCCTCCTGTTTCTCGCCCCAAATAAATTTCTTATCTTTTTGCGTTAAAGTCGTCAGTGGTTGCGTGATCTTGGAGAAGTTTGCAATGAATCGCCTATAATAACCTGCCAAACCAAGAAATTGACGAATCTCCGTTGGTGTCTTTGGGGCTTCCCACTTTTTGATAGCCTCGATCTTAGTTGGATCAACATGGATTCCCTTATCATTGACTACATGGCCCAGAAAATGCACTTCACGAATCCAAAATTCGCATTTGGAAARTTTGGCGTACAACTTTTCCTTCTTGAGCAATTCTTGGATCAACCTTAAATGTTGTTCATGCTCCTTCTTATCTCGTGAGTAAATCAATATATCGTCTATAAACACGATCACGAAATTGTCTAGGTACGGTCGGCAAACCCTGTTCATCAAATCCATGAAGACTGTCGGAGCGTTTGTTAATCCAAAAGGCATGACTAGAAACTCGTAATGACCGTATCGAGTCCTAAACGCTGTCTTAGCAATTTCTTCTTCGCGAACTCTCATATGGTGATATCCTGAATGTAGATCGATCTTTGAGAAGTACGTAGCACCTTGTAGTTGATCAAACAAGTCGTCGATYCGAGGGAGGGGGTAACGGTTTTTGATGGTCAGCTTGTTGAGTTCTTTGTAATCAATGCACATCCGGAAAGATCCATCCTTCTTTTTGACGAATAGAACCGGAGCTCCCCAGGGTGAAGAGCTAGGTCTGATGAATCCTTTATCGAGCAACTCCTGTAGTTGTTCTGATAATTCCTRCATCTCCGATGGTGCTAATCGGTAAGGAGACTTTGCCACGGGTGCAGCTCCAGGAACTAAATCAATATGAAACTCTACTTGTCTGTGCGGGGGTAATATAGGTAATTCATCTGGAAATACCTCAGGAAAATCTCGTACTATCAGGAGATCCTGAATACGCGTCTCTTTGATCTCCCTATCCACAACATATGCCAAGAATGCAACGCAATTTTTCCTCATGTAATTTTGCATTTTCATACATGTCACTATTTTAATATCCCTCCTTGGTTTCTCTCCATGTACTTCGAGTATTCTTCCTTCTGATAGTGGTATATGAATCTTCTTTTCAGCACAACAAATTTCGGCTCGGTTTTCAGACAACCAATCCATACCCACGACTAAATCAAAACTTCCTATTTTGATTGGGATTAGGTCAATCTAAAATTTGTTTCTACCAAGTTTAGAGTGCAGTTCTCGATCACATCTCTGACCTTAACTTTCTGTCCGCTAGCATATTCTATTATATGTACTTCATTCAACTTTTGGGGTCTTATGTTTATCTTTGGCCTAAAATCTAGCGACACATAACTCCTATCTGCTCCAGAATCAAAAAGTACGGATGCAACATGATTGTTTAGGAGAAACGTACATGTGACCACAGATCAGGATTTCGCCTTGCTTCTTCTGCCCCACTCTCGAACACCCGACCTCGTGCCTGACCCCCTTGGTTCCCTTGATTGGTTGGTCGTGCTTGATTTGTGTGGGACCCTTGATTTCTTCTAGGACAAGCATTTCAGAAGTGATTTAGGCTTCCACACTTAAAGCAAACTCGTCCTTCTCCGATTCTGCAATCCTTTGCAACATGTCCTGTCCTGTTGCACTTATGACATGTGATACATCTCCCCAGGTGTTGTTTGTTGC